CCCGGGCTCCCGAGTCCAGGTGCTCCCCGGGTCCGCTCCGTTCTCTAGGGAGGCGAGCGCTGGCCGAGGAAGAGGATGCTCTGGTCTCTCTCTCTCTCTCTCTCTCTCTCTCTCTCTCTCTCTCTCTCTCTTTATTGATTTCAGAGAGGAAGGGAGAGGGAGAGAGAGAAACATACTAGTAAATGATTAGGGAGAACCACTGATCGGCTGCCTCCTGCACGCCCCCCACCCGGGATCGATCCCGCAGCCCGGGCTTGTGCCCTTGAACGGGATTGAACCTGGGACCCGGCGCTCTATCCACTGAGCCAAACCGGCTCGGGCTGGTTTCTGTTAAGACGTTTCCATGTTTGCGAAATGCAGCGTGGAACTTGGGCCGCTGTTAAAACTCACAGAAATGACCCCGCGTGCTTGGGCTCTGAGAGCAGCGGCGCCGACCGCAGCCCGTGCCGAGCCTGACTCCTCCCCGGGGCTTCCCGGCACCGGAGCCCAGGGCCGGGCCCGGTCGCGCCGCGCTGGGGGCAGGTGCTCTCCCCGGCGGCGGGCGCAGTCTGTGCTCCAGCTCTGCGCTGCCGGCCCCTGAAGGACCACCCCCTCCAAGTGGCCACCAGGGGCCCTCGGGGTGAGGACCCAGAGCCGGGGCGAGGGCCCAGGCCCGGCCCCCGCTGTGGAAGGAACCCCCGGGCCTCGGGGACAGGCGTTGGCAGCTGCAGAAGCAAGTCAGGAGTCGCTCTTGAGTAATTTCAGGGCTACTCGTACGTTAACAGGTTTACCCTAAGCTAGTGTTCCTGAAGGAAACAGAACATGAACAGCATTTAAAAAAACGAACTTTTAAGTTCCTTCGATCAAGGAAAAAAGGTTAATAATTAATGCTTCTTTTGCCTAAATTTACTGTTCATAGACTTTATTTTTACCCTAAAAATATCCTGCTTCTCTTTTATCTGCCATCCTATTAATAACATAAAGGACATCATGTCAATAGGTTGTGGAATTGGGGCCAGAAAATTGTCTGCCGTGGCAATAGTGAGGCCTTCGGAAGCCAGAAATTGTAATGCGTCGTTGGCCGAAGCCAAAGATGAAGCACTGTTGATTCTCAGAATTAAAACAGGGTCAGCCCTGGCTGGTTTGGCTGGGTGGATAGAGCAGGCGGCCTGTGGACTGAAGGGCCCCGGGTTCCATTCCAGTCAAGGGCACATGCGTGGGTTGTGGGCTCCATCCCCAGTAGGGGGCATGCAGGAGACAGCCGACCCATGATTCTCTCTCATCACTGATGTTTCTGTCTCTCTCTACCTTTCCCTTCCTCTCTGAAATCAATTTAAAAACTAACAAATAAAAACCATGGTCAGCTGAGGGTGGTTTTTAAAATTAAACTGTTCTGACAAATCTGTGGCTATTCAGCTAAATAATTATACTGCAATCATCTTTAACACAGGTAAGAGAACAGTGTGACTCAGAATGGTGCGGCAAATGTTGTGTCAGCTGTGAAGGTGGTGAAAAGCCAAGTCAATTCTTGAATGTCCTGTAGGTGAAGTGATAGTCTTCCCCGGCACCTTACCCTGTTTTGCTGCAGCCACCTCCTAGCTTCTGGCTGTTAGACCAGGCCTTCTGGGCCAGTGGGGACACCTGGTGGTCAGGGTCCTTCCCTACCACCTCCTTCCTCCCGCAGGTTATTGATTTGGCTTGCTTCTCTCACATCAGTTATTCTGATGTAGGTAATCATGTATAGTCTCTAGGCCAGGGGTGGGCAAACTTTTTGACTCGAGGGCCACAATGAGTTCTTAAACTGGACGGGAGGGCCGGAACAAAAGCATGGATGGAGTGTTTGTGTGAACTAATATAAATTCAAAGTAAACATTATTACATAAAAGGGTACGGTCTTTTTTTTTTTTAGTTTTATTCATTTCAAACGGGCCGGATCCGTTATTCTGATGTAGGTAATCATGTATAGTCTCTAGGCCCTTTAAATATGCTATCTTATTTCATTCTCACAGCAAGCCCATGATCTAGGGCAGTGATGGCGAACCTATGACACACGTGTCAGAGGTGACACGCGAGCGAACTCATTTTTTTGGTAGTGCTCTGTATAACCAACCAAACAAACAAAAACCCCCGTTTAGTTTGGAGGGAAATGATCCAGGATAAGGAGCCTGTGCCTTGTGAGGTAGAGGTGGTTGGGGTAAAGCTAAGAGTGAAGGTTTGGAATTAGGTGGATGTTCGCCTAAAACCCAGCTCTGCCGTGGGAGACCTGGGTGGTTACTTAGTCTCCCAAAGCTCCCA